TTTCTCTCTCAGAAGTATAGTTTTGGTTATTTTCTAAATTCTAAATCAAACAAATGAGAGCCTTTGGGTCCGAGCAAGATGTTGGTGGCAATAATTGTAATCTAAAATGTGAATTCATATTCAGTTTTCCACTTGTCCCGCGCGCTGGTTTCTTTTCGAACATAACACAGTTTTATTTAGATTGAATTATTATCGTCAGTAAATTTAGGTATTAAACAATTTCTAATTATTTAAAAATTGAATACCCCCTCCCTGTACCGTAAAGAAATCTTTTTGCGAAATATATATATACATATATCTATAATTTATGTTATAAATATATGTACATGTATAGATATTTTAATGATTTTCCAAGTGGTTAAATTTAACATTTATAATCTAATAATTTTGAACGTAATGTTCTCAGCATAACATAAGCCCGCTACACGTGGCGGCAAAGTGGGGCAAGAATAATATGGTTAAGATATTGTTGGAGAACTCGGCGCAAATCGACGCCAAAACCAAAGACGGTTTAACTCCGCTACATTGCGCAGCACGATCGGGACATGAACAGGTTGTCAGCACGCTTCTTGAAAATTCGGCGCCGATCAGCGCGCGTACTAAGGTACATTCTAGTGAATGTCCCGCTAAGTTTTCTCCCGTATCGATCAGCTTACAAATTTCAAATAATTTTTCTCGCTTGTCTTCCTTGTTACTTTCAACATTTTAACGATGGATATAATTGTGAAAGAAAATAAACACATAAAATCTGAAAGCTTTCAAGATGTTAGATAGCAGTTATTATCCAGAATTGTAGCGTTAGAGCTTTTTAATTTTGTAGCAAGATGTTTCGGTTCTCTTTGTGATTGACGGATTTCCAGTTTAGGTTCTCCATACATGTGCGGATATTTTGCAATCTACTCTTTCGTCCCGAGTTAAGAATTATCCTTTTTGTAGAATGGGCTCGCACCGTTACACATGGCCTCTCAAGGAGATCATGTGGATGCTGCAAGAGTGCTGCTGTACCATCGGGCGCCAGTAGACGAAGTGACCATCGACTATCTGACCTCGCTCCACGTTGCCGCGCACTGCGGCCACGTTAGGGTCGCCAAGCTGCTACTCGATCGTAAAGCCGATCCGAACGCTCGAGCTCTGAATGGCTTCACGCCGCTCCATATCGCTTGCAAGAAGAACCGCATCAAAGTGGTTGAACTGTTGCTGAAGCACGGTGCATCCATCGAGTCGACCACGGAGGTAACGCAAACGTTTCTTCGTTCGCACTGTCAAGCATCTCGCAACCATGTTTTCATAAATGTCTCCTCGCAACTGTAAATCACAAATGTTTTCACATAGTGTCAATAGCAACGAGCTCGATGGAATATTACGAAGCCGAATTGTGTTATCTATCGCATTTGCACAGAAAATGGTCGTTTTTAACGCGCGGACGTACATTTGGAGTACAATTAAAAAGTCACATTGATATGTGTCGCACACACGTTGGTTGGTAATTAACGTTGTTAAGAATAATCTTCATCCGTCCTTCTGTGCCCCGCAAAAAGTAATACCGATCGGTAAATCTCAAAGACTGGTTAAAGGGTCGTGCGTTTAATAATAATACTGACAAAATCGGCGTCTCAGCTTCTTCCGTCACGATCATTCTTATATATTTGTTCCTCAGTTTACGAGACACTGATCGCCGGAACGGTAACGACAACGATAAAAAAAAAGAAAAGAAAAAAGAAAGAAATCGTGGGATTGATTCTGGAGTCATATCGAGAAGTCGAAATATTAACAGACAATACGTGTGTTTTGCAGTCCGGACTGACTCCATTACATGTGGCCAGTTTTATGGGGTGTATGAATATCGTGATATTCCTACTGCAGCATGAAGCCAATCCTGACGTGCCAACTGTTAGGGGTGAAACACCCCTGCATCTGGCAGCTAGAGCTAATCAAACAGACATTATTCGAATTTTGCTAAGAAATGGTGCCAAAGTCGATGCTCGTGCAAGGGTAAGTAGAGCGTGTTGCATTCCGAAACCGATTCCGACCCACCTTTTTGCCGCTTTCTCGACCTGCCGCCAGTGAAATACTGCTTGTCTAGCTTAACGCGACAGCGAGTACCTCTCCTAGAGACAAAGATCGTAATCTAGAAAGTCATGTACCAGTACATATACCAATGATCACTCATACGCACCCCTTTATTCAAAAGCATGAGCCATTAACCAGTCTCATATACCGAAGTCCAAATTAAACTTCTCTTACTGGCAATTTGTCAAATTTGAAGTGTATGATCTTCCAATTGCAAGTAAGATGACTCTAGTGTTGTTTCTCACGCTTTCTTCTTCAATCACTAAAATCTTCAAGGCACAATAATACTAACACGTGATCTGATTTATAAAGAAATATTTCTAATCACGAGTCTCATCGCAACGTTCACCTTCACGCTTCCACCTCACTGTTTCGCGAAACATTCTCATCGCATTTCCTAACACCGTCTTGTTGTTATTTTGTAGGAACAGCAAACGCCGCTTCATATAGCGTCTCGATTAGGAAATATCGACATTGTTATGCTGCTGCTACAGCACGGCGCGGCTGTGGACACCGCTACGAAAGATATGTACACGGCGCTTCATATCGCGGCGAAGGAGGGTCAAGAGGAGGTAATGTACAAAGAGTGCGTGCAAATAGCGGATTACATTGCCATGCAGAACAGAACGTACCTGTTCTGGACTCGGCAGCGCGAGTACCTCATTTAGGATGGAGAGAACTGCTGCGGACACGTTTGTCGTTATCGTTATTGCCTGTGCACATCGTTCGCATCACGTCAATTTGCATCTCGCACATATTCTGTTTTACACCTTCTGTTGATGTAATTTCGTTTACGTTGATTATACTTTTTATGTTACGTTTATCCATCATTGTATTCGTTATGCAATAAACTTTTTCGTTACGTTGTTTATTCTTTATGTTACCTTATTTCTTCATTTTCACGCATACTCGAATAATTTCATACTTCTCAAACCACGTTCTGGAAATCCGTTCTGCTTATCTTATCGCCGCCACTCTACCCCTCTCCCCTCTGTCATGTATTTTTGTATTTTATGTATTTTTCATTATCAAATAATCTCATTACACGAAGGTAGCCAGGTTGGACGCAACTTCACCCCGTGACATTTGGCAATCGCTTTATTTTTCCGAGGCTCGATATCGATTGTCAAGCGTTGCGTCAAACCAAACATATCCAAGTTCCCCTTATATTTCTGCGCATCTCATAAATAATTTACTAACGCTCTCGTAGAGTTCGCATAAACGTGATTACAGTCGTTAAATAAGCATTAATCAAATTCCGATAATTCCAATTTGCGAAACTCATCGTTATTTTCGTAACTGTGTCAGGTTGCTCGTTCGCGCGCGCGCAGACAGGATTATATTGATTTTTAATAAATTCCTCATTTCTAATCCCCCTTGTGGAAGGTAATCTAAAAATTTTAATTAACCCAAATTTCAAATTTCACTCTATATAATTGTAGCATAAATATAAATATAGCAATATAGATATAACAAAATTTACTTCTTATAAAAAGTTGAAAAAGGTCACTTATATATTTTAGAGTAATTGGAAATTAACTGAAATAAGAGTAAAAGAAGCGTTTGCTTTGGTTCGTACTGCAAAAGTGTATAAGTAAAGGCTAAGACGGGCCCCGAAGAATTTTTTTTGTAACACAAAATTTTTTTTTTACAAACAGGTGGCGGCCATTCTTGTGGAGAACAATGCTTCTCTTAAAGCTGCAACGAAAAACGGCTTTACACCTTTACATATCGCGGCTAAATACGGAAATATGAATGTCGCAAATATACTCTTGCAGAAAAAAAGCAAACTTGATGTCCAAGGAAAGGTTCGTGTACATTTCTACGCAGATTATATCGAATTGTGTAAAAAATACATCCAGACATCCAGGCAAAAGAAAAAGACAGATAACACAATATTTCTTATTTCATATTTTATTTCCTTAATATTATTTCTTATCGTATCAGTAATTGCACAATGTTATTTTAGAACTATCTATCAAAGTTCTGAGTTAAGAACTTAAGGTGACAGATCTCTAAACAAAAAAGTTGAAGGACGATCCTTGTTTCTAAATGCCGTCTAAAAATCTGAGATTTTTTTTATACAACGCGATATTATATTGCATAAATTATCCTCTAACTTTCAAGCAAATTCTTGAATTATGCAGAACATATGCTTAACATTTCAGAACGATATTACGCCTTTACATTTGGCATGTCACTACGATCATCCAAATGTTGCAACTCTTTTATTAGAAAAAGGAGCATCGCCTCACCTTGCGTCGCAAAATGGACACACTCCGCTACATATCGCTGCTCGCAAAAATCAGGTATACTTATCTCGAAACTGTGAATTTTTTAACTCTTGAAATGTTTTCTCCAACGAATATTTGCACTGCTCTAATATTCATTGTTACTGTTAACTATTTTGCAAAAACCATCTCTTTCACGCGTCTAGATGGACATCGCTTCTACTCTCTTGGAGAGCGGGGCGAAGGCAAACGCGGAATCCAAAGCGGGTTTCACCCCGTTGCATCTGAGTGCGCAAAAAGGACATTACGATATGACAAATTTGCTAATTGAGCACGGTGCCAATCCTAATCACAAAGCCAAGGTAAATCAGTTTTTCATGTAGTTATAGATTTCATTCCTCAATTAAAATCGTTATGTGCATATAATTGTTTACTAAATTTATTTACTTTATCTATTCTTTGCTTCAGAAAATTACAAATTGTAAAAATATATTATATTCTTCCTTGGACTTCTAAAATAATTTTTAATATCTGCACATTTTTCTATACAATTAATATCTATATAATTTTTTAGTACATTCGAGGAAAAAACGTTATTTTTAATATGCATTTGATTAGTCTATGAAATCACAAACAACGACGGATGTACTATATTCTTATTTTATTTATCTATCTATCAGAATGGACTCACGGCGTTGCATTTATGCGCGCAAGAAGATTTCATTAGGGTGGCCTCTATCTTGGTGAAGAACGGGGTTGACGTTGAGAGTCAAACAGAGACTGGCTACAGGCCGATACACGTGGCCGCGCACTTCGGAAATTTGTCGATGATACGCTTTTTGTTGAAACATAATGCTACGATTGATGTTAGAACTAATCAGAATTACACTCCGCTTCATCAGGCTGCCCAACAGGGTCATGCTCATATTGTCACCGCTTTGTTGGAAGGAAATGCTTCACATAAAGCGCGTACTAACGTAAGCAATATATTACTGCTATGTATGCGATGTAAGACGTTTACTAATGTTTTGACGCCTACTTATTAATTTTTATTAAATCATAAGTACGTGAGTATTCCTTTAATATAAAATTTGATAACATTTTTCTATTTTTAAAATAATTAGTTATGCTTCCCTTCTTAAATTGTTAGATATACAGATAATATGAAAATAGAAATTTGAATAATGTCATATTATATTATTTTATTATAAGAACAAATTAAAAATTAAAGATTGTAAAATATTATAAAAAATATAATTGGATTTTGAATAATTTATAAAACTTATGATCGTAGGATGGCTTAACGGCACTGAACATAGCACAAAAATTAGGATATATCTCCGTGATGGAAGTGCTGAAAGGATTGCCTTACGATAGCGCGACTCCAGATAACAAAAACTGGGAGGAAAAGTACAAAGTAATAGCTCCAGAAAGCTTGCAAGAAACTAGTTTTATGTCTGACTCGGAAGACGAAGGAGGTACGTGTGCACAGATACAAATAAAGAATAGAAAATAATTAAACTCTTTGCAAAGAAAAATTTCTCTTTTTAGGTTCTGACGCATTAATTAGCGAACAACCTTATCGATATCTTACGGTAGACTTGATGAAGAGTCTAAGGGATGATTCGTTGCCTATTGATGTTACTAGGGATGATCCGGTGCACAGACAAGGTAAACAATGTAAAATCTCTTATTGTTAGAGCTCATCAATTTGTCTTTTAAATCTTCTTTTTGATATTTTGTGTTCAACTGTATATGTATGTATTTTAGTTACAATAAAGTGAAATAAATTGTTGAAATAAAAATAAAAATACATATATTATAAAAATATAAATATATTATGAGGTAGTTTGTGGCACGAAATAACTTGGTTTCGAAGAAATAGTACATGCCTGTGACTTATAATTATTCTCATTTTAGTTTCAAAAGAAGAAAAACAGGAATTTACACAAAGCAATAATTACTGTCTAGCGGAAAATTTTGATAATGATGGACTGAATCTGGGGTGAGTCGATTAATTTTTGTTCTACGAGATAACGTACACATTTATTAATAATTTTAGTACGTTACAAAAATTGAATAAAATTCTAGTTATTTATTTAAAAATAAAGTAATTAAAAAGTGTCTATTTAAAGATTTTTGTCTCAAACACGATTTAAAAATGTATGTTTTTTGTTGCAGGAAGCTGCACTTCAGATCGTAAGTATAAAACAGTAGAGAATTAACACGAAAAGAAATATTTGAGCAAATAGATGCATAGAATTACAAAGGTTTGGATTTGCAGATTTTTAATAAGTTTTCTGGTGGATGCACGTGGCGGTGCCATGAAGGGATGCAGACACAGTGGTGTGCGTATTATTATACCGCCTCGAAGAGCAACGATGCCGATTCGCGTAACATGTAAACTAGTAAAAGCAACTAAAGTGGCGAATCCGCCTCCCTTGATGGAAGGAGAGGCTCTTGCTACTCGAATTATCGAGATGGGTCCTGTAGGCGCGAGATTTTTAGGGTAATACTTAAATATTCAATAAATTTTCAATATAATTATTAATTAATATATGTAATATATTTTATTACGTAAATAATTACGTTTAGATATGCCAAGACTAGCATATTAATATATGCATGTATTATATATAAAATATATGCCAAATATATATATAACATAAACTGAAGTTTATATAAAAATAAATTGTATTTCAGACCCGTCTTAATTGACATACCGCACTTTGCATCTGTTCGCGGAAAAGAACGGGAAATTATTATTTTGCGAAGCGAGAATGGAGAAACATGGAAGGAACACGATAACTCCGCAGATAATGATGACACTCTCCTTAATACGCCTTATGGTATATAATTTTAAAAAATTGATATATTAGCATCAATTTTATTTCTTTGCATTTCTCAAATATTTATTACGGATCTGTCTTAAAAAAAAAGTTTGAAAAAATTTTTTCCATAATGTTATACATAATTTCTATAGATATACAATATTATTTTCAACTACAGCTTTAATAAGTGCTTGAAAATCGTAATTTCAATATTATAATATTATTACAATTAAACAGACCCATTATTTTTTCAGATCCGCAGATGAGCGTTGCACACTCGGCCAGAATTACTCGCATAATCACCACAGACTTCCCGCAGTATTTTGCTATCGTGACCAGAATCAAACAAGAAGTTCACGTTATCGGTGCCGAGGGTTGCATTTTGTTATCTAGTGTGGCAAATCACGTGCAGGCCGTTTTTCCACCGGGAGCGTTAACGAAGAAAATCAAAGTTGGCTTGCAGGTGATGAAATTAAAAAATTTGACTGCCGCATAGTCACAAGTAAGGATGGCAAGTAATGTAAAGCTTTATCTGTATTTAGGCGCATGTTATCCCGGCTGAACTTACGGCCAAACTGCTCGGCAATTGCGTTGCCGTTTCGCCGGTGATCACAATCGAACCCAGACGACGAAAGTTCCATAAACCGATAACCCTCACGATTCCCGTGCCGCAAGCCGCGAACAAGGGGATGATCAATCAGTATGGTGGAGAAACACCTACATTACGCCTCTTGTGTAGCATTGCGGGTATTTATGGACATTTTAGAACTTTAGACAAACAAGCACAACAAGCTACAATTTATCTTTCAAATTTATCAGTAATCGATTATCGCAAGAAAATTATTTGACAATGCTTAACAATAAAATAGATTATCAGAAGAAAATTATTTTTATTAACAAGAATGTGCTTGCTTGCATATAATTAATTAAAAAATTATATAAGTTTTAAGTTAATTAATTAAATAATTATACAAGTTATATTTTTTCATGTATTAATAAAAAAATATGTAAAATATTTAAAAAACTTATTTCGCAATTAAGAGAAAAAAGATTTTATTAATACTGAGTATTATAAAAGAATTGAATTCAATATTAATACAACAAGGCGGCAAATATGTGTATTGTTTCAATAACATTGTTGGGATGATAAAAATTGACTAACTTTAGGCGGAACCAACGAGTCGCAATGGGAAGACGTTACCGGATCAACACCGTTAACTTTCATGAACGATAAAGTGTCGTTCACCACTACCGTTTCAGCAAGATTCTGGCTGATGGACTGCAGAAATATTGGTGCAGTACCGAAAATGGCAACGGAGTTGTATGAGGCATCCTTACATGTGCCATACATAACAAAGTGAGCGATATTTTATCACTCATATATGTTATTAATAACAATCCTTTAATTTTCATGTTAACATAAACGCTTCTCTCTACATTTCAGTTTTATAATATACTCGAAGAGGATGGATGTGTTGGAAGCTACATTGCGAATATTGTGCATGACCGATGGCAAAGAAGGCATGCACACTTTGGAGAGACAAGAGGAATTTACGGAGATTGTTAAGAGCCGCGATGTTGAGGTATCCTCGTGATATAGAGCAACAAGTAGTAAACTATCCCGATTAAAAAATTTTTTTAACAAAATAAATTTTGCGAGACAGAGGTTTTACTAGATTTAGATAAATCTTTCTTTCTTAAAATTTGTTATCTTTGATATAAGGTGGATAGTATTAATGTTTGTTCCGTTATCGATACATCTATTTGTTTTAGGTAATAATACATATACATTATCTCATTATAAGATCACTATTTAAAAATTGTCAATATAATATGTTAATGTACGGATGTTTTAAACTATTTAATATGTATATATTTGTTTAATAGGCACTCGACGGAAAAGAACTTTATATTGAATTTAGTGGGAATTTAGTGCCAGTAACAAAGTCCGGTATGCAGTTAAAGTTCACGTTCAGGGCTTTCAGACAGAATCGATTGTCATTCCACGTTAAAGTGAAAGATCCATTATTGGATCCAGTGGCGAGAATGTTGTTTATGCGAGAACCAAAAGTTGCTAAAGGAGAACCACCTCAGCAACCTATTTGTGTATTAAATATTGTACTCCCTGAAACAATTGTTAAACATGACTTACAAAAGAGATTAAAAGGTACGTCCATTGAAAATTATAATGCAAAAGGAAAATATAAAGTGTATTAAAATTTTCTTTACTTTTTTCCACTTCAAATTTGATAAAGCTAAATTATAAATAATAATTCTAATTTGTAATTGTTTTAATACAGTTATTTTATTTTGAACATTCAATAAATTAAGGCAAATAGAAAATTTTACTTTTCAAATGTATAATTATATACTTATAATATTCTAATACAATTATAATACTACAATAAACTTAATAAATATTACTTTTTATTACTTTATTATATTATAATAAATATTTTAATATTACTCTTTATATATTACATATTTTATATAAATTTTTAATATAAAGAAATGAAAAATTTTAGGAAAATCTGAAATTGAAATTAAATTAAAGATTTATAGACAATGCCTCATGTATATGTTATTGTTACTAATAATGTTTTTATTGCTACAGGTTATGAAGATTCTAATATCATAAATCAAAAATTAGATTACTACAAATCAAAGTACAAAGTGGAACAAATGGAGAAAACTGATAAGCCTAAAGAGACTTCTTCGCCAACAGAAAAGAAATTCATAACCGATACGTTGCAAAAGGAACAAACAGGTATGATATCAAAAGTGTAGAAAATAGAAGTAGAAAAAGTATACTTGGTTCGTACTATGCATACTATACAAATGTTAAATAATAATAAATATTGCAAAAAATGAGTCAAATTATTCAAATTAAAAAAATTCTAATTTACAAATTAGTTTCGTCTATAACACTAGAAATGCAAGGTGCAAAAAGAGAATTTGCGTAATGAAGCATTAAGTGTTGTCGATGAATATTTCATTACATGAACGTATTTTATATCCACCGATATATGGCGATATCTTGAGAAAGGTCTGGCGACGTAGGTCGTTCGTAAGCAAAGTGTACAATGTGGAAAAAAAGAAAATGTTTTGTCAAGGTCGAGAGAAAATCCTTGTCGAATATCGTTTCGTCTCGACTTGAAAATGATGAAACTCGATTGTCATTCTATTTTAATTTAAGGGGAGAAAGATAATCGGCTTACGGTTTAAGAGTTGGGTGAGGCTTCTTTAACTTAATTAGACGTAACAGCATCAACAAATGCTTGAAACTACCGGCGGACTTCTTTAGTTCTATCCGTACAACGAAGGGGAACGGTGCATATTTCATATCTACCTTTCTTTCAAGCACCCACACAAAATTATAAAATGTGAGTCTTTTCAGTTTTGCCACGGGTTGTTTATTTTTACTAACTCCCTTTTCGTTTAATCTCATTAAAGTTGAAGATGAAGAAATTTAATATAAGAATGAGATACATTTATAATTAATTTGGTTTTTAAATACAAAATCTAGAATAGATTTTACAAACTAAATGTAAACTTATTTTATTCTTGTACTTTTATGTTTTTCTATTTCCTGAATAATTTATTTTGGAATTTTATTTTGTGTTCTTTTCAATGTTAATTTCTTTCTTTCTCATTATTTTCAGTTTCAGGTATTTTTAAGTTCGTTAGTAGTTTGCATTTGCGATTGGCACCGTTAAACGCATAAGAAACTGGGCAGATATGGCGACAAAAATCAATGAACAGGATTGCGTCATGACGAAGCGGGACAATCAAGCAAGTAACAAAGAATGTTCCTCTGGAACGAAGGTCAAGCGCAAGTCCAGATCCGCTAGAAGACGTTTGAACGCTATGATGAGCAACGCATCGTTTCATTTTTCCGATACGGATTCGGAGGGCGAGTTGACAATGATCACCAGCAAGATCGGCAAGCTTAATTCGACGCAAGCCCCGCAAGCGAATCCATTAATTTCTGTGACCCATGCGGAGGCTACCGAGTCCAAGGCGAAGGTCAACGACAATCTGGATTACCTTATAGCTGACGGTGAGGCCAGATCCCGATCACGCCGCAGTAGCTTCGCGGAGAATCTCACCGACGTCGATGAAATCTACGATGAAATCGACGAGAAAGATACCATCAGTAGCAACTTAAATGTGGTTGATAATGGTTATCAAGGGGAAACGGATTTGGAGGATATGGATGGCGACGACGACGACATTCAACCACCGATCTATGTTACACCAAGATCAGATATTCTGGTCGAGTTCGGTGGCGAGATGATCACAACCAAGGAAGGTGACGGACCGTTCTCTGTGGAAGTGCGAAATCGATTGTCGCGAGAAGAAGCTTCCATCGACAAACCAGATACCGAAAACGTACCGGATATGCCGGACACCGACAGCGAGGACATGGAAGGGTCCGAAGATGAAACTAAATTGGATGAGGCAGCTGCTTACAACGATATGTACGAAGACCTCGATATCTTGGCGGCCTCGCAGATTGTCATGACCAACAAAATGGAAAACACCTTGCATGTTCCGGATGTCGACGACGCTATCAGCGATTGTCATACCGATATCGAGGATGTCGATTAAATAAAATAGAATTAAAAGACGAATTTAAAACAATTATTAAAAGCATGCGAAATAATGCAACCCTTGGAATAAAGGGCAGGGAGAATTTCCAACATCTCTCTCATTATGCTTACAATTAGCGAAAATTAACGTACCATTAACGGGATGACAGAATGATATTATTACGAATAACAAGAGTAAGGAGCTTTCGATTAATCGTGATCGGATAAAGCCCACTCAAGTTACACAAGTTGCGTAACATCTTATATGAATGTAAGAAATCTTGATTCAATTAGGAGTTGTTATTTGGAAGACAGGTAAAATTTTGAAATTTTTCTGTCAGCCTTGAATAATATCAGGCATTGTCAAAATTGTTTTAAATAATCACGAGGGTCTAATTAAACGGCGTAAAGTTTATTAATAAATTGTATTAAAAATTACGGTCTTTCACACCAAACAATTAGCAATTTAAAAAGAAAATAATTTTGTTTTTGTTTATTTGTTTCTTTGTCCTTTCTCACAAAAGTTGTCCATAAAATAATTCTCAAATTTTTCGCAGCAAACGTTTATTTCGGAAAATCACGAAGAGGAAAAAGTAGTTAAAGGTACAATGTGAAAAAAATATTTGTTTCTATACTTTGTTAATCTCAGAATAAATACATATTGTATGAGATTACATATACATATATGGACATTATTTTGTGGGCAACCTATAAGCACACTATATAGTTTGTTACAAATTCTTACGTTTTCCTTTTTGCACCGTGCCTAAAACTTATTATTAATAAATACTCAGTAGGGCAGACATAATGATTCAGGCAAAGTAAAATACACGATACAATTGATCTCTGGAAAGTAACAAGTTGCTTCGCATTATTCAAAATAGCATTAGCGTTGGTCAAAGAAGTCCGCTTATAACAATCACTGTATATTGAACATCGCGAACATAGTTTATTTATAAATCCAATAACAATACAATGCGCATCGAAACGATTATCGACAAAAATTAATTCTTATGTTCTCGTTATGAAATCGCAATAATAATAACGCAATATTTGTGTACTTGTTATACTTGCAGACCGAACTGCCGTCCTCAACATTATCATAGACAACCGTATGGGATATTAATACAAAAGAGTATGTCTCCGCAGTCTGGAGAATTTTTCCAATATAAACAAATACATATACATATATATACACATATATAATTATAATTATATGATATAATATGTAAATACGTACATAGATAATTAATGCAGTAATACTCGATGAGTGTTAACTTTTCTTGGCAATAACATTGTTTCTAAGATCAAGTCGTTGTACGTGCAAGAGTAGAAAAATTTATTTCGTATTTGCGAATTATACTTTTGATGGACACAGCTATAATTATGATTCGAATTATGTCATGGATATAATTAATTTAAAGACACAAGAAAGATAATCGTTACGTACATTCAAGACTTGTTAAGTTGTTTACAACGAATTAAAGCTGTCGAATATAAAACAGAACAAGTCCATTCTTTTATATTACATGAATTATTATTAGTTGTTTTCCTTTTAGTTAAAGGAGCATGAACAAAAGGGTTAATCTGATATAAGAAGTACATTGTCTATCTAAAAAGCAATAATCTTAGTAGCGTTAATAAGATTAGATTTGCGTAGAAACGCTTTATCTCGAGATTCGTGTTAATGGACTGCTGTTTTGCATTTTGCGGCTTCACCACTTGGCTCTAGTACATCTCGTATATACCTGCCGCGACTGTAGAAAAGAAAAGAAAATGAGAAAAAAAAAGACGAAGAATTTGCGCTACGGAAGTTCTCGATCGCCAGATCTCGCTGTGAATAAAAAAAAGAACAATTGTAAAGAAAAAAAAATAGACACGATGTATCGCAGTCATTATAACGACATGCTTAATAAAAAGTAATGTGAGCATAATTCTTGGTTGTTCTAGATGCCGCTTTCCACGAATCCTTTGCACAAAAAGCGGCTTGTCCCCTAGAATCCGTAGATGCTAGTTATCCCAATAAAGTAGGCGCCGGTCAGTCGGAGCCTGATCTGTCGCCCGATCTCGAAAGGCAGACGTACTCGGAGAAGCGTAAATTTTGGGAGGATATCTCGAGGAAACGCGAAAACTACCAGCGTTCCGAATCCGAGATCTCGAGGACCTCTCAATTGACCATTAACGAGAGCGACAGCGAGTCATGCCTGCCGAATGTCGTGTCCGAGGAAGGTGATGGGACAACGGAGGGCATCTCGGACGTCATAAGGTCGGAGACCATCGAGGACATCAACGTGCCAGATATCTCGGAGTGTTCGGTAGCGGAGAAAGCGCATTACTTCGAGGAGCAGATACAGAAGGAGATGGCGAAGGGAACGCCGAGGCTGCACCAGCAGGACTCCTCCAAGTCCGAAAAAGACAAGTCTCTCTCCAAGGACCAGAAGAGTCACGCGGAAAAGAGTACGATGGAAATGACAAAGGAGAAGATTGATATTCAGGAAAAACACGTGGCGGAATCGAGAGAGATAGAGAAGATCTTGAAAGCTGCTACGGAGGGCGATAAATGGATGAAGGAGCCGTGGAAGGATAAAAATAAAAAGGACGATGACAAAGAAGCGCGTGAAGAAGTTAAAAAAATAACGGCTGAGCCAATGATGGAGATTTGCAAGGAATTATTGAATAAGGAAAGAGAGCTCGCTGAGGAAACGCAGGTGAGACGTGCTCCGGTTGGAAAAGAGATCGCTGCACAAAAGAAGCCTGACATATCCACAGACATCGCAGAAAAGGAACAACCGGAAACGTCATTAAGCAAGGAGAAGTTGGTCGGAAAGCAAATTACAACGAAGGAAACAACAATCACTTATAAGATGGAAAAAGATGAAACTCTAATGCCAGAGCAGATTCATAAGTCGATGCAAATCAAAGGTGCGAATGGTAAATCAGTTACACGAACGGACATTAGGACTGAATTGTTTCCTCTGGATGATAAAAAGGAAATCGAGCAATTCCTCGAAGAGGAGAGGCGAATCATTGAAGAAGAAGCGGAAAGGAAGATGATGGCCGATTTTAATCTTGACAGGGAAAGAAAATCCTCTGTTGAAATCAAACAGATGAAGAAAGAATTCGAATCTCGCATTCCGATTTCCACTGCGATGGCTGACAAGGATAAAAGCCAGAAAGAAGGAAAAGGTAAAATATTACCGGAGAAACCTGAGGAGAAACCGGTAAAAAGTTCTCTAACCACGGAGAAAGAAAAGGATATTGCATCGCCATCCAGCAAGAAGAAAGAATTTGAATCCCGTATACCCAAACGTATCATGGAAGGAGCAAAGGAGAAAGAAGGAACAAAGAAAGACTTGCCGGGACGAAAAGAAGGTGAAACCATCACTGTCACCGAAAGAAAATCCAGCGAGGAGGTTACTTCGCGGCACGAAGAACGCACGAAGAGTAAGACACACACTTTTTCTAAAACCTTCACCGACGCGCAGGACGCGTTTAGGATGTTCGAGGATATAAGTGCAATGAAAGACAAGGACTTCGATACGGTTACTTCAAAGGTCGATACTAAAGCTACAAGTAAGGTGGAAAAGAAGGAAGTGTTTTCGTCAAAAATCTCCAGCGGTGCGGATAAATTTATAACTCACGAGGAGAAGGAAAAAGTGGAACGGAAAAAGTCCTCGGAGTCCAAACTTACTAAGGAGTCGCCGGCTGAGACGACAGAGGAGAAAAAAAGCAAGAGCGAGGAGGTGGATAAGACCGCTGTGCAGAAGATGTCAATGAACGTGACGAAAGGCAAGGAAGTGATAGATGCAAGCGCTTCTGAGACCAGAGCGAAGAGTGAAAAGGAAGAATTATTTAAATTGCTAGAGGACAGGGAAGGAACCGCGACGAAAAAATCTGGAACTAGCAGGGACAGGAAAAGCGACGTGGATGTGGCGATTAGAATTAAGAAGGACGATGCGAAGAAGGTAGAGGACATTAAAGAAATGCCTAAAACAGCCAAAGGAATAGACTTAGGAAAGGTTGAAATGGTCGCGCAAGGACAATCTTACAGAGAGAGCTTGGAGAGTTTTAATGTTGAGCAGTTTGTACCTAGTCAAAAGGATAAGATGGATTTAACTGAAAAGGTGAAGAAAGACGGACAACTTCCGAGCAAAGAAGCTCCGATATCTTTGGAGAAGAAAGAACAATTAATTGCCAAAGAAATCGAAGCGCGGAATTTAGCGGAGGGTCTAATACAGTCGATTGAGAGTGAGATTGAGAAAAGATCGTTGACATCGGGATTGAAACCACAGATGTTGAGTAAAGAATATTTAGATCAATTGATTTCTGAGAGCAGCGACACTGATCATGAGAAACTGGCGGACGATCTAACGAAACAATTCGAAAGCATTATGCAGAAGGACGAACAATTGATGGATTATCCAGGAACGACGCTAACGAAGACGTCCATACAAGAAGAAATGTTCGAGAAAGGATACACCAGAGATAGTATAAGCGAGGATATAACGAAAGATGAAGAATCGTCACCGCATGATCGAGAAGAAAGTTTACAATCATCTTCGCAAGCGAAACTCCAGGACAGAGACATCACTTTAAGCCCCAGCAGTATATCTGAGCAGATTGATCTTGAAGAAACTATCGATGTTGATACTGGAGAACTAGAGGATATATCTAAGTCTAGTCCACGATCAGAGAAACTTCGTTCGGACAGATCGAGCAGTCACATCGAGCCACTTCAAAAGGATATATATAGTGATAGTTTATCGAAAGACAAAATTGTGTCGGAGATTTCGGGCGCTAGAGTGCTAGAGATCTTGGAACCAGGCATAGACAGTCGACAAGACTCGTTCGACGTGCCGTCTTTGGAGTTAGACGAGCACAAAGTGTCAGAACAGACTAGCAGGGACGTAGCTTCTTTACACGAGAGTGTGGCTGTAGATTCTTTAGAAAAAATCGGGCGAGAGAAAGATACGACTGTCAGTTCTAGCACAGTGTCCGAGGACGTTAATGTAGAGTATCCTCCAATTCACGAGCGTGCTTTATCCATGACTGCTGTTCCAACGAGAGAATACGACGCGGGGGATAGACGGAGGGCGGACAGTTTCGAAATCGAGAGCCCGCCGTTGGTTTCACCAAGGGTGAGGAATGTACGAGATCTGGAGATCAAGCCGGTGGACTGGATGATCGGCGACGAGAAGATTGAAATATCAGAAATGCTGCAGCCCTCTCAGGTATTCAGTCAGGAGCTGGAGGAGTACGAGTCGTCTTTACAACGCACCCGCACCTCCTCGCAGGATGAATCTGTGGATTTGGAGCAAGAGTCCATGACTAAGTCTTCGGAGGAGATCAGTGTAATCGAATCAGTCAAAGAGTCGATGGCCAGTGACAAGGTCGGAACGACTACCACGGCTAAGATGACAAAGTTTACTGTGACCCCAGTGACCGAGCCAGACTTTGAGAGCGAACTGATAGAAAATAAATTAGATATTAGTTGTCAAGAGTTAGTCGACACTCTGCAACGAGAATACGACGCCAAGACGCCGACGGACGAGTACGCGGCTAGCATACGACAATCGATATCTCGCGAAGATTTCGACTGGGAAACGAGTATTACCGAAGCCGTTACGGAAATGATACCTATGAAAGAGGAAGAAGTGAAAGATTTAGCTACGGAAATGTCTGAAATTAAAGCACAGGAAATGGGCAAAGAAACTTTCCAACGAGACATTTCTGCGGATAAAGTATCTGCGATGAAAGAAGAAAAAGCAGATTTTAAGGTAAAAGAATTAGAAGTCACGAAAGAAGGAATAACTGAAACTAAGGAAATTAAAAAAGAGTCCACGAAAGAAGAATCAGAATTACCAAAGTGTGCGAGAGTCGATGATGTGCTAAAAGAATGGACAGAGACTTATTTGGTGAAGATCAAGCCTCCCAGTGAGGAATACAGACGACATATGGAAAAAACCACCGAGAAACACGACAAGTCCAGCAAATCGACGACTGCTCCTTCCGATACTTGTGCCTTTAAAATAAAGAAAGATGATCACCAGAACGTCGATTTGAGCGCGCGATACGCGATAACGGTACTCGATCAAGTAGTAAAAAAAGAGATCGCCGAAGTGAAAGAGTCCTTGGAAGCCGCTAAACAGGACTTGATAGAAGAATTGAGTGAGAACAGTCAGACCGTGATTCAGATTAAAGATTCGCCCTCAGAGTTTCAGTTCAAACTCCAACCGGAATCCATTCCGAACGATTTGCCGTTTTTGTACAGACCACCGTCCATTGAACATGTTCCTGCGGAGGCTAAACCGGAAACCGAAGCTGAAGTTACTACACACGGCGAATCGTCAATTGTAAAAACTCAAAAATTTGACCAGGCGAAACAGGAAGACACTGATGATAAACTATCTGTCCAAGTAACTGCCACCATTGAAGACAGACCAGCCGATACAATTAAAGCGCCTGAAATCGGTATCGAGAAGCACGAAGAAGAAGAACCTATAATAACCGTTGATGACGACGAAGATGAAGGTCGTCCCAGCCCGCTTCCTATCAGTAGATCGTCAGACGTTGGTTCGGACATGGATAACAGGGATGACAGCTACTCTTTGGCACTACCCCACCCGGCACCCAGAAGACGCCACAAACTGGCCAAAATATCGAAGAAAATTAAGTCCTCGGAGAGCGAAGCCGATGTCTCGAGTTCTGGCGAGAGCAGCAATTATCAGTCCTGTGATTATGAAGTTGGTAGTGGAAGCAGACCCAGTTCGTCCGATGTCGAGGCAATGCAGTCCGCCGCGGGTGGTGTACAATCCGGAACCGCTTCGGAGTACGAGACGGCGATGATGTCTGTCGAACATGAGGGGTCCAAGACATTGCCGACGTCGCAAGAATATCAAACAGCAGCGAGCACGTTGAGCTCCCACGAATCCATGAAGTCCTTAAATTCTCTTAGTTCGGGCCATCTCGGCAGCATCGACAGCACCAGCGAGTTGTCGGAGACACTGGTACCTTCGGAGGAAGCGGACGTAGACGCGGACGAGATAGACGAAAACCTGGAAAGCGCATTGGACGCGGAACACGAGTTGGCCGAGGCGTCGGACTCTTCCGGCAGCGAAGAAATACCAATGGATGAAGCCATAGACAAACTCGACAAAATTGACAGTCATATACCATGTCGCATGAAGCGTTCATCCGAGATGATTTTTCAACAAATCATAGACGACAGCGTTGGTAAGGAGACAGAGTCCGTAGGCAAAGTGTTGGAAGAGGATCGAGGCAGAGTCGCGGACTCAGCCACTTCCGCTTTTATGGACGCGCCTGGGGTTCTTCAATCCGCAGACATAATGACGTCGCGCGTATCCGAGGGTGGAGTTCAGAGCGTGTGCACGCAGGTGATTTCTACGCGAGTTACCAGGCCTAGCGATAGTGAGGAGCTTGAAGAGGAAAAGGAAGATTTAGAAGCACAAGGAGATACGGAAAAAGACGTGGACACGATGGATGTGGAAACGGCGGGAGGTCTAGAACAGATATTGGATCAAGATATGCCTGAAGATGACGGTCTCGAACCGATGCGGATTACATCCGTCCACTCTATGCTGCAGCAGGCCAGTACGTCCCTATCCTCAGCATCAGGCATGTCCTTCGATACAGTCGTAGAAAAAGATATAGAGAAGGACAGATCTGAGCGTCATTCACCTGACAGCGATTCATTCGAGCTCGTAGACAAGCCTGATATCATTGATGACTTTGTGGTGATCGAGGAAGTCGGACGCGAAGCGGAGGAGTTCGATGCCGAGGGTAAGAGTATTCGCATTAGCTCCGTACCTCAGACCACCAGCAAACAATACGATCGCGATCTAGAAAACTTAATTGCGGAGAAAAAAGAGGATACGCAGGTATCAACGAGTCAGACGTCGAAAAACAACGATCTATTCGACTTTGAAACCGAGGAGAGCCCACCCCAAGTGTCGAACGAGGATCAATCTCAATCCTATTCTGACGAAGAGCAGTATGAGAATAAGAAGTGGATAGAGATGCAGTTCCACGCGGATGCGAGAGTGTACGATATCGAGTATGACCGCGGACCATTGGAGGACATCAAGGAAGAGGAGGTCACTGATTTTGAGGCCGGCAGCAGTAGACTCGGCAGTTTAGGCAGCCACAAAGAGTCCATAGGCAGTGTGGGAAGTATGCGCGGTAGCTTAGGCAGTACACCGGACTACGACGTTCTAGGGAAGAAGTATTTCACCAAGCCTACAGATCACGACTCTGCGTCCTTGACCTCACTGCAGGAATTCGAGCACTTGGAGAGCACCGTGGCAGCCGAGAACTCGCGGAGGGTATGCGGCTCGCAGGATTCCAGCAGCAATAACGGCAGTCTTCCGAGGAGATACGTGACCAGTCGTTCGGGTCACGGCGACGACGTCTCGTTGTCCTCACTAAAGGATTTCGAGGGTCTTGAGAAGGCCTGCAGAGAGGCTCATCTGATGGAACTGCGGGCCCGTGAGGAAGAGGAGCTACTGGAACACGAGAGTCCGGAGAACAAATATAAATTGGAGAATCTGCCGCGCTCGAGGACAGAGACTAGTGCGGCTGGTTCGTTTAATCCTAGCACTTCCGGGTCGGACGACTACGAGAAGAGGATAAAAGAGATTGATGAGATAATACGCATCGCGCAGTCTAACGTGGAGAAATCCGAACGACAGGACGACACTACGGAGGACATTTCGCAGATCGAGGCTACCGATGCTGAGAAAGTTATCGCTCAACCAATTCCGGAAACACTTCCAGAGGAAGTGGAAGAACTCGATGAGGCACGAGCAGCACAGAAAGAAAGCAATATCATGGAGACCAGTACGGATTCTCTGGAATTGGAAGATGCTGAGAAGAAATATCATCAGTTGTGTCGAAGCTCCGATTCTTTGGAAATGAAGACGACTCTGGACTTTCCGTCCTTGAGTTCGGATTCGTTGAATAATATAAAGGACGCAAAGGAAACCGCCGAGCAATATGGTGGCAACGCGAGACGCATTTCCTCGGATTCTCTTGAGATGCCTTTGTTAGAGCAGCAGGATGCTGGAGCGTCCGAGAGAAGTACTGGCAGTAACGGGCGTCATGCCGAAGAAGAAACCGACCGTTCTGTTGGACGAACGTCTTCGACGGGAACGAGAAGCGACAAAATGAAAACGTCACCAAGTAGCGGTACATAGGACAATTTTCGTGGGTAAGTATCTTACGTAAAGAATGTTTAATTTACAATGATAATTATCTAATTATAATATTAAACTCTCCAGAAAAAAATTAATGTTTTTATTATAAACAGGTACCTAGCTGTATGTATTTTGTTTGAATTTTAATGCAGAATAATTTTTGAAATATATTACCTATGTTCTATTTTCGGAGCAATTCATAGAAATTGTTTCAAACATCTCAAAAAATTTATTATTTTTGAACGTTAAATATATAGATTATTTTCCCTATTTTAAAACAAGAGAAAATTAATAAATTTAATAAATAATAAAACAGCCCTTTCTCTCTTCCTTCCTTCCTTTCTTTCTTGTACTAAATCTATAATTAGACAATTAATTATATTTTGTTTTCAATTTTAGATAAGCGGACCATCAGGAAGGATTTTTGCCACGATTTCATAAACACATTACAAATAACTCAAGAAGCTTTATATGTAAAACACGATATATAATGTACTAAAGAACTTGTGCATTGTGGATATACAAGATAGTATTACATTTTGTCCTTGTTTTACGCGATGTCTTCTGATAACATTTATATTATGCTTAAGTCAGATAGTTGCTATCTTTAAAATATAACATTGTTGCGTGGGATAAAGTGGAAGGAACGCTTGCTTGTTTGTCATTATTAAATTTGGACAGACCTATTGTTGTAATAATTCTTGCTGTATTCGTTCAGGAAAACGCAAACAATCTTAACTGTTTTTGAAATCTTTACAGACATTAAGTTGCATTTTACATATACTTTTTTAACACATACTTTAAAGTGCTACTTACACGTTCTACTTGTATTATAACGCGTACGACGCCGACTCTTATAGCGTGTTTTATAAACAATTTGATTACGGGATGTCTTTGTGGATGCGCTTTCGTAAAATTTTATAATATATTTGACGTACCTCGTATCGTGTAATGATTTCAAGCGATGTCTGCGAAACTCAAAAAATACAATAATGTTATCTTAACGCATATTTACAAAGGAAGACAGATACATAATATCTAAATAGAAAATTTTATATGCAAATATAATATTTAGGGCACCCCCTCCCCCCCCACACACACACACATTATGGAAAGTAGCAAATACACTTTTCTATTTAAATAATTCCAACAATTGTTTGATAACTTATTATATTTGTTTCTCTGATTATAAAAAGTTACTTGTGTATGTTATCAATTATGTTTAAACATGTATTGTATATTTATACAAGTTATAATAATGTGATTTAAGAAGTTTGTTTCCTTAACGATGGAAATATACATCTGTGCATTATCTGAAACTTGTTAGTACGCACGTTTATTTTTCCTATAAATTGCATTAACACACGTTCGCGTCATTTATTGTCAGCAATACATGATTGACATAGGAAGTAAAAGCTTTCCACATAAGTTTATAGTATGCAGGAGGATACACTTCACGAACAAACAATAAACGAATAGCGAACGTGCGGAATCTTACTTACATATTTAAAACTTTCCTTGATCGTAGTTTTTGTATAATATGTGAAAGATTTACTAAGTTTTTACTTTATTTATTTACTATTAGAAAAACAATTATATTTGATAGTTTTAGTGTCTAAATACGTTTTCATCTTATTTATTTACTATACAAAATAATTGCCTTATACAGTGTTTAATATTCGTCTTAGTACAAAAAGTTCATGCTTTGTTTTAATAAATAGTTGGTAATGTAATAATAATAATTATTATTACTGTCGTATTTATATGATATAAGTATACGAATATAAGAATACAATATAAAAATATACATATACAATTACAAACATATATACATATACATCTTACATGTTTATTTACACAAAGTTTTCAACATTTTCATTTCTTTGCGTAACCGTAGGCATTAATAGTGCTAATAGTCTTTATAAAAGTGATTATAGAACTATCAACAACGAAAATGAATACGGAGACATTAAGGAAATCGTAAACGTGACGACGATTTTTATACTTTGTAAATAAATTATAATTTATAATCAATAAATTATAACTTATAATAAATAAATTATAATTATTTCCATTAAAAAATAAAAAAGCACTTCAATATACGCATAATAAAATTTCAATATCGAATTTGATATCAAGTTAGACTTACTATTCAATTGTTATTATCAGATATTATTAATTGTAAGTGCGAGAGAACAATTTTACACGTTCTTATCTAGATAAATCACATGCATTAAATCATAATTTGTTTATTACATGTGATAAAAACCATAAGAAACAAAATTATATGCATATTTCTCTAATTATATTTCTTAACATGTGAATTATAATGGAAAAGGCAGGACCGATTGGGAAATACCATTTATTAATTCACATATTAAATTTAAAATTAATTTGTTTCTTAAGATTTATGTTTTAAAATGATTATATAAATTCTCAATCCTTTTTCTCAAGATCGTTGAATAGAACACAAATCTCGTAAACGAAGAAACAGGTACGTGCCAATTTTATTTACGAAAAGAGGTATCCAAATAAAGACCAATTGACACACGTGTACATAATATATTGCATAACCAACTAAGTTATCTTCATACATATGTATGAAGTATACGTAGAAGGCACAGCGTATCATTTCAATGGTGCTAGGATATATAAACGCACATTTATCAAATAACAAGCCGATGCTGGTGAGGGCAATTAAATTGTTCGTCACTGCAATTATAACCCAAGGATCGTGTAAATTCTGAAAATAGAACAAAAAAAATGGTAATAATTTCACGTGTTTGATTCAGACATCTCCAATTACGATAGATACAATTGTAATAAATTTTTACAAATAGTTATTTCAATAAAAATATATTTCTATTTTCATTGAAGTTTAATACTTTCTTGCGCTGTTACTGAATACAGTAAATAGTACAATCAAATACCATAGTATAAGTATAATCAAATAAGAGTATACCATAATGTAATTAAAACTTTGTGAAATATATTTAAACATTTCCCAAGTATTTTAAACATATAATAACACAAAAAGCATATAAATCTATTACAAAAGTAATACATTTTTGCAAATTGTTAATAATATATATGTATATCAGAATATATGCATTATTATACATTATATGTATAACATATGTATATTTTTCATTATTGCATATTTATTATGTTACATTATTATTACATTAAAACAGAGAAAGAGAGCAAATAAGGAATTTCAAAAGAGTACAAGCAAATTTCAACCATGTATTTTTCCTTAAGTTTTATGTATTATATGTTTTTACTATGCATTCTTATATATACGTGTTACTTTTTGTATTCTTGCAGTTTTTATCTACTATAGAGATAAACCTTCTGTTTGATAAGAATACTATTTTAGTACAACTTAGAAACATTGCTACAATTAGAGACAACGCACTATAAATAATTTCTTCGATAATGAAACAATATGTACATAATGATAAAGTTTTTGTTATAGAATACTCTACGATGCCGTTTTATTTAAAATCGGTTTTAATTATAGCATCACTTGCATGACTTACTTTAGATATTTTAATGTTTTAATGTAAATATACGATTACGTTCATAAAAAGTTGAACAGTAAATGATTTATATTGAACATTTACCTCGTGATATTGTGGATTGTATAGTTTATAATGATTGAGAAGAGCCATCAGAAACTGCACGCTTATGTATATTTTTTGTCCTTTTGGTATGTAAGGATCATATACAGCTCTGGGTTTCACCTATGAGATTAAGAAGTAATATCTTTAATGCAAGAATTTAACGTAAACTAATTTTTTGTTGCAATTTTTCTTAATTGTAAATTATTTATAAATAGTACAAAAACGTATATTTTATTTTACTCCGAACATCTTTGACTATATTACCTTTATTTTATATTCATCTAAACCCAAACGTGGTGCACCTGGAAACCAACTAGGACCTTTCCAAAAAACGGCAAATTTATCAGCCCACGTACTCATACTTATACTTTTCTTGATTATGTCCTTCAAGTAAAATATCTACAACATTGCAGAAGATATTTAAGGACAATTTAAATTTCACACATATGTACAAAATTATTATTATTATTACTATTATACAGGGTGTCTGACACAAGAGGACCCCTACGAAAAATGGTGGTAGATTGGGTAAGACTAAGAAGAAAAGTCATGTACCAGTTTACAATTTACACAAATACTAACGTAGCTTTTTCGATCACTTATTTCATGATCAATTATTGCATATTATAGCTTATTATAATGTGGTTTTTACCTGCAGATAAAACGTGTTAAATGATTCCATGTTAACTACTAGCCCATAAACTATTTCTTCTTTTCGTTCTTCCTCTTGAAATGTCCCAAACAATCGATCCCATATTATAAATACACCACCATAATTCTTATCCAAGCAATAAAGATTGCAACCTATTGATGCAGAAATGCGTATGTAATATAAGTCGTGAAAAGAATGATCATATATTTAATTTTACCATGATGAACGCGATGATGTTTAGGCGTATTCAAAATCAACTCGAGTAAGCCGAGATTACCAATGACTGTTGTATGTATCCACAATTGATATATCAAATTGAATTGATTGTGGACCATAAAGTGTGATGGAGGTATAAAGAAGGCAAGCGGTAAATAAATGACCTGCAAAAGATATTTCAATCAAAATGTGTACAAGAAATAATGCGAAGTATTTTAATTTGTTCTGAAATCTTTTAGTTTCAGTTTAAAAACACTTTTTATTCTTTAAATTTCTTTGGTCTTTATGAATACAATATTAAAAATTTAAATTGTCCATCAATATTTTTCATATTTTTATATCAATTTTCTTTGTATTTAATAACAAATTTTAGAGAAGTGATACTTACAAAGTTGCACCAGTGTTGGAGAATGGATTGACGCAGACCAACCGCAAGATTAAATTCCTGGCTGCTGTGATGGACTTGATGGTAGGCCCATAAAAAGTGAACTTCTGCAAACCGTCAATTAACATCTTAAATTAAAGGAGAAGAGAGAGATAACTGTCAAATGCTGAGGAATGCTTAGATAGGAATTTAACCATGATTACTGCGATGAGCCCAATAATAACAAAAGTCCACAGCAATGAAGGTAATATACCATGTCCACAGAGAGTTCCAGGGTAAAGTGTATCCTCTGCCAAACCTCTCATAAATGGCAATGTATACAAAATATTCGGCGCCGCGCGAAAAAATTCTGTGAAACCGACAACGCGACGTTTCATCTAAATTTATCAAACAAAGAAATATATAAATACAATACACACATTTTATATTTATACTTAACATATTTGTTATCTTTATCCTCTTATTTGTTTTTTTGTATCTTTATACCTATTAAATTTAAAGTTTTCTTTTGGAGTTTTCTTCGTATACAGCCACTTTTATATCTGCTTTTTTAGGTATTCTTTTAAATAAAAGACATAAATAAAATAAAATAAAGTAATTGAATTGTATTTGTGACTCCATCAAAAGCAGAGTTAAAGTAGAATATATAATCATAATAAAAAAAGAAACATCAGTTATAACTATTAATTGTAAGATACACTCATAAATACTAAATTATATCAATAATAATTATTGGGATTACAATATACTATATTACATTTCAATTTAGGAAAAAAAGGTAGAAAATTGTGTGTATGTATTTCTTGTTTTTCTTGTATACCTAGGTAGCAAACTGACATTATTTTGTTAGTTTTTGCTAAAGACATCATTTTCAGAATAAATGACGACAAATAATACCAGTTTGCTACTTGGGCAATAAAAGATAGGCCGTAATTTACTCTTACCGAATAGTTTCATGGAGCATCCAGTGTGACAATGACGTTACTTGATCGTTCAAACGGAATTTTTTCTTCCTTAAGGTTAATTGCTCCAAAATTAACAGCAGAAAAAATGGCATCCATATCTATAATTATCAAAGATTGTGTACGCAGAAAGTTAAGCTTTGCACGTAGTTTTATGTATTAGTGCTACGTTCGAATGAGGTCTCGACAAGAATAGCGCGCACATATGACTTGTTAACGATTCATGTAGCTTGCCTCGTTCGTAACAAGTAACAAGCCAGCTGCGCATTCGAATTACCGGACTTCCTCGATGCATTTGACATCGTTTACGCTACTTTGGCACAAACAGAATCAAATAGATTTTTCGAAAAGACATTTCGTAGATGCTACTCATGCCAAACGCTAGTGAAGCCAATCGAAGCTAAGGTCATTTACACCGAAATATAAGGAAGCATTACCATCCTTATTTATTACTATTACCGTTAAATAAGTAAAGTTAAAATAGCGAAATGTCATATGAAAGTTAAATAAACTTTAGCAAAAGCTTATCCGAGAGTAAATTTTAGTTATAGAGAGTAGTTTTTCAGATTGTTTCTAAAAGTGTTTCTTATTTAAATAAGTTATTTAAACTTCGATACTCTCTTTTATACTAAATATTCACAAAATATATGTTCTTTTCGTGATCATACAAAGCAATATAATATAATAACGTCTTAAATTAGTACATAAATGTTAGTCTTTCTGTATAATAATAAATACTGCTAATAATTAATTTCATAAATCAGTTATGTTAACGTTCCTCCGTTAATTACCTTCTTTTATTATCAATTTGTAGGATAGAATGTGTTCAATAAAATATGATTTTTACTTAATTCTTTATAAATCAGCTTTATTACTGAAATGAAATCATTTATTCGTTAATCAACGATTAACGCATCCGCTTTAACATTATTCAAACTATGACATTATGCAACGTGCAAAAACTAGGATGTAATTTAATCCGATAAAAAATTTTGCAGTGCTATAAAAAGATTCTCTCATTTTTATCGAGAATGTTACCTGTTGTTGATAGTCTGGCACCTCATGCAGAAACTCGAAAGTTGTCTCCTTTGGGCTGACAATATACCACAGTTTTCCGATGTGTTTTAGAAAATAGTCGCCAATTTCAGCGAGTGAACTTGATATCATATTCATCTTGTACACTCGCAAATAAGCACAAACCGCACCAAACCGCAAAAATATATTATAAATGTTTCAGGAGCATCTCAGGTGTATAAGCAAACCTCTCAGACGATATACGGCGTCGGTGTAATAGCTTGCTCCGCTCGTATGTGTTTATATAAGTTCGAGCTAAACCAACGCACGTGACAGATCAGTTATCTTGAAGGCGCGATACGTGTACACAGACATGCGGATTCAAAATTATTCGTTACTATACCAACTAAAATAATGTACCACACGTTTGAGTTTATATTATTATTTACTTCGACAAATTCTATGTAGCCAAGCTACATGTAGGTAAAATACACATCAGATGAAAAGCAAAAATTAATAACAAAAGTGTCATTAATCTTTTATCATGATAAGTAATTTACGTATGATAATTTCACATAGTCTTTCTTTATATTAGTGATTTATTGCGAAACTCTTTAAATACAAATAATTTCTAAAATCATGACGAGAGAGATACATACATATATAAATTTGAGAGAGAGAGAGAGAGAGAGAGAGAGAGAGAGAGAGAGAGAGAGAGAGAGAGAGAGAGAGAGAGAGAGAGAGGGAGAGAAATATCCTCAAAGAGTTCAACTTCATAAAATTATTTGTTTTAATTTACAAATATACACAGTTGGAAAATTAGTGTTTCCTTGTTAAGAAAAATGCCAGTTAAAATTTTTGTGTTAAATGTTTAACACATTCATGTGTTAATTTAACATATTGCTCTTGTGTTAATTGACCTCAAATGTAAAATTATTAAAATAACTGAAAAGAAATGTTAAAGCAACACAATGTGTACTCACTTTTTAATCTTACACAATACATATGTTCTATATTATTAGTAACAAGATTTATCTGTTAAAAGTTACAGAATAAAATGTTGATCTTATTCTATAGTATAACATAAGTGAGAATGATTTCGAACTGTTATTTAACTTATTAGATCTGTAAAATGAAAAAATTATATTAAAAATTCATTTTGTCATTATGAAATATGTTACTTTTACACAAAATTTATTTCAAATTATTTTAAGATTTGCATTTATTTTGTGTTACAATATTAACAGAGTATTAGTGTGATCATTTAACATATCCATATTATGTTATAATAAATTAACACAAAATTTCTGTGGACCGTTTGGGACATGTAATATCTGTTAAATTTAACACAAATTTTTCAACTGTGTAGGATATTTCATGTATTAGCAAAAAAAGTTCTAAAAAAGTATGGAAATATGAGGC